CACTCACCTCAGCCTCCCAAAGGCGCAGGATTACAGGCTGAGCCACCGAGTCCGGCTCCTCCCGCCCTCTTAGGAAGGCCACGGTGTCGGGCAGAAGCTGACCAGTTCCTTAGCAGTATTTTGGGGCCATTTAACTTCAGCACCACGTTTCATTGATTCAGTGTGTACACTTCACCTCGTTGGGTTCAGGGGCCACAGGTGGGCAAAGGAAGGGATTGCAGCATCAGTGAGGTAGGAAGCTTGCAAGGAGCCACAGTGCCCAGAGGAGCAGATGAGGTGCTCCTTCCAGTCCACACCTCCTGGGCTTGATGGCACCCCCAGCGACTCAGTGGTTTGGTAACTGAGTGAATGCATGAACATGCCAGGCCCCCTTGGAACCGGTGGTGCCTACCAGGTAGTGGAGTGGTGGATGTAGGGGTAGGGGAATTGAGGTCCATGTGACTTGACTGAGGTTCTCGTAATGTAAACACACCCAGTTTACAGTATCAGTTTGAAACCTAGGAGGTCTGACTATGCAAATTATTGGAGAAAAAAGCCAGGACAAATTTCTGTGGACTTTTACCTTTAAAAATGTGTTATTGTGAACCACTTACAAATGAGGCACCACCACATTCAGGCCATGTAAAGTCTGTGTTATATAAGAATGTTTGCCCTTTTTTAGCTGACCTTTTTCCTGTTAGTAGATGTTAAGTCAATATAGGACCTGTGCAAGGGGACCAAGTTAGGTCCATTTGGGATGGGCCATGGGTCCTCATCAGGCCCTTTGGGTTCAACGTTTAGGATCCAGTAACTGTGAGCAGTACCAAGTTGTCATAAGAGAGCTCAGCTGTGGTTTGTCCTCCTTACAAAATCTTGAATTGATTTCCAGTGTGGCAGTGTCAGGAGGTAGGGCTGGGTGGATGGTGCTGGGTCAGGGGCAGGTTCTTTGCGATAGACTCATGTCCTCCCTTTCTGTGGTGAGTGAGTTTTCCCAGAGCAGGTTGTTATAGAGTTGGGCTTCCGTGGTTTCTTTGTCTTGCAACCTCTCTCTTTGTGTGTATCTTTACATATGCAGGGTCCCTTTCCACCTTCCACCATGAACTGAAGCAGTGTGAGGCCCTCACCACACGCAGCTGCCCAGTCTTGAACTTCTCAGTCATCAGAACCATGAGCACAACAAACCTTTCCTTATAGGGAAAAGGTTTTCCTTATAAATGGCCCAGCCTCCAGTGTTCTGTGATGACAACACAAAAGGGACCAAGATGGTCTCTTATTATTCTACAAGCTGGATCCGGAGGATTCAAAGATAAAACAACTTCCAGGGGTGCCCTGTTATATCTCTGAATCCAATCAGTAAAGACAACACACTGTTTTCTTAAATGATGACACATGATTTGCTAAAGGACATCGGAGTATTTCCTCTAACTTCAAAATTAAACTTTTGACTAATTCTTATAATTTATAAATTCTCATTTATTTAATTTCTACTTTTGCTTGATGTTGATTCTGAGAGCAAATTTATCCTTTTTGTTAAAATATTTTTTCTGCAAGCATGCTAAAAGTTACAAATGATTAATAAAGACTCCAAAAGTCATATTACGAATTCTCTATTTTTTTCTAGAGACATAGGGATAACTGATTTCTCTTCCATGCACTTGAGGGCTGCTTTCATAACCTAATCATGTCATGTGTATAACAGCCCACCCCCTGCCTCAGGGGGTTGCCCGTGTCACTTTCTGATCACTGAGAGTGGTTAATATTATGTGTGTTTACAAGAAAATTGTGTGCAAAGCATAAGATATTGTGAGGGTGGGGTGGGTGGGTGTATAACAGGAATGTCTCCATCAGGGCCATTTCTGCACCTTCTTACTTGAGCACCCCACCTTCTCTGACATCCCTCTCCTCTGAATTCACACCCATCCTTTCCTGACACCCCTCTCCTCTGAATTCATACCCCACCTCCCCCAAAATCTCTCTCCTCTGAATTCACACGATACCTTCCCCGACATTCCTCTCTTCTTAACTCACACCCCACCTTCCCTGACATCCTCTCCTCTGAACTTGCACACAGCCTTCCCAATACCCCTCTCCTCCCGATTCACACCCTACCTTCCCTGACATCCCTCTCCTATGAATTCACACCCCTTCTTCCCTGATATCCATTCTCCTCTGAATTCTTATCCCTCCTTCCTTGAAATCCCTCTCCTCTGAATTCACACCCTGCCTTCCCTGACATTCATCTTTTTTCTGAATTCACACCCATCCTTCCCAGACATCCATCTCTTCTGAATTCATACCCCACCTTCCCTGACATCCTGTTTCTCTGAATTCCCATGAGGTCTTCCCTGACATCCCTATCTTCTGAATTCATACCCAGCCTTCCCCAACATCCTTCTTCTCTACATTAACATCCAGCTTTCTCTGACATCCCTCCCCTGTAAATTCACATCCATCCATTCCCAACATCCCTCTCCTCTGAATTCACACCCCACCTTCCCTGACATCCCTCTCCTCTGAATTCACACCCCACCTTCCCTGACATCCTGTTCCTCTGAATTCACATGAAGCCTTCTCCAACATCCATCTATTTTCTGAATTCACATGCATCCTTCCCCAACATCCTTCTATTCTGAATTCACATACATCCTTTCCTGGCATCCCTCTCCTCTGAATTCACATGATGCCTCCCTTGACATCCTTCGTTCTTGAATTCACACTCATTCTTCCCCAATACCTCTCTCCTCTGAATTCACACCATGCCTTCCCTGACATCCCTCTCTTGTGAATGAACACCCTGCTTTCTCCGAAATCCCTCTCCTCTGAATTCACACCCATCCTTCCCCAATATCCCTCTCCTTTTAACTCACACCAATCCTTCCTAGACATGCATCTCCACTGAATTCATACCTCATCTTCCCTGAAATCCCTCTTCTATGAATTAACATGCAGACTTCCCTGACAGTCATCCCTCTCCTCTGAATTCACACCCGCCTTCTCCAACATTCTTTTCCTCTGAATTCACACCCAGCGATCCCTGACATTTCTCCTCTGAATTCACACCCCACCTTCCCTGACATATCTCTCCTCTGAAGTCACACCCCACCTTCCTTAAAATCCCTCTCCTCTGAATTCACACCCAACCTACCAAGACACCCCTCTCCTCTGAATTCAAGCCCATCCTTCTCCAACATCCTTCTCCTCTGAATTCACACCCAGCCTTCCCTGACATCCTTCTCCTCTGAATTCACATGCAGCCTTCCCCGACATTCCTCTTCTCTGAATTCACACTCAGTCTTCCCTGACAGTGTAAAGCTGCTCACTGAACAGAAAAGGCTGTGACCTCACCTGGCAGCTTAACTACAAACCCTGCTCCTTCTCCTTGGAAAGTTGAGGAAAACTGTCTTTGAAAAAATAAATGTCAAAGAGTTACTTTTTCAGCACACTTTGACACTCAACCTGTCTATGCTGGAACCAGAATTTAGACTCCAGTTGGTAACACGCTTCTTCCCCTCAAAGTAGCACATTGCCAGGCAAGGGAGTAAGAAGGACACTAAGCAGGAAAAGCATGTTCCTTTTATTTGAAAAAACAAAGGCATGATGAGGGTGTTCATTCCTGCTGAGCTCAGCATGGAGCTCAGATCCAAGTTCAGTTCCAGTCCCGCCCTGCCTCTGGAAAAGGATGCTCTGGGGAAGAACCGTAAAAAGACTGGGAAGATGGGATGCAGGGTCACAACTCAGTGCCAGGGCCTGGAAGGACATGGGGTTGCAGCTCAGAGAAGGGACCTGAAAGGTGTGACCACCCTGGGGCGAGGCGGGGATGACACATTGGCCTGGCTGGATACATCTGCAGCTCCCAAGTACCCAGTGAGCATCTTCCTGGGCAGGAACCATGGCCACACTCCATGGGGAAGGGTCTCTGGGAGATCCTTCCTCTGGCCACTACACTCAGCTGTGGGAAGGCTCCTCTGTGACTGTCAGGCAGCCTCATTTGTGAGCTCCTCAGGACATGTCTTTCCTGCAACTCTCTGTGGCTCCTGGGACGCACCTCATACCATGGTCATGACCTTCAGGGCCGCTGGTTGGAACCTGCGAATCTTCTTCTTCAGGGCCTTGGAGGCTTTGATGCGGCACAATTTGGGCATGGGGGGCAGGGGTGGCCTTGAGCCAAGCGGGGCCTGTGGTGGCTGCTGGGGGCCCCCTAGGAGCCAGGCCAGGTTCCCCTGCCCAGCTGCCATGCAGTCCAGCACCAGGCCACCTCTGCCCTGGGTGCTGCCGTCTGAGTCACTGTTAGACTCCAGGTCCCCGAAGCAGCTGGCAGTGTGGTCACTGGCCTCCCCCTCGCTGGTCTCTGCGATGGTGGAGTGGAGCCATGAAGCACCCTCTGAGGGATCCGACCCACTCCTGGTGCGGGCATCCTGACTGGCCAGTGCCCTGAGGGGTACTGCTTTCCTGGCCGTGGGCCTGGGGGGTCCTGGGCTGGGCTCAGGATAGTTGGTCAGGCGTGGCCGGGCTGAAATCTCTACACTGGACTGCCAGCAGCGCTGCCTCCTCTTGGTCACGGCGCCAAAGGGGATGGCCTCAAAGGGGAACAGCGCTTGGGCCGACGTGCGGTGGCCATCCCTCCGGGTCACCATTAGCGGCACAAAGAAGGGCACAGGGTAGAGGGTGGACTCAGAGCAGGAACGTCCGGGCACCTTCCCGGCCAGGGCCACTCTCCTCCTGAGCCCGGCCACTCCCAGTGGCCGGTGGGAAGGGCCCCACTCAGAGGGAGGTTGGGGGTCCATGTGGGCAGCCCCCTCTCTCTCTGGCAAGGGTGATGGCTGCTTCCCAAACCACAGCAACTTGTCACTGGATCGTCTCTTCATCTTGGTGACCTTGTTCTTGGGGAGGCTGGTTTTTAGCCCAATTGGAGAGGCCTCACGGGTAGCAAAGGGCAGGTGGACAAAGTGCCCTGAGCCCAGCATGGAGCTCTCATTGTCCCTACTCCTCGATAGTGACTCGACTCTATCTTGCCCACAGTCACGAGCCACGACAGGTGGTTGGGACTGGGCACCGGGCTGGGGGCCCACCCGCAGTCTCCCCATGCATGCAGCAATCTGAGGGGTGGGGACCCTCCTCTGCAAGGCTGCTGGGATGCTGGGTACCCACAAGAGGCTCAGGTCTCTGCAGCAGGGGGCTGCCCCTCTGAGTCAAGTCCCTCGTATCCTCCCTCCCTGGGGCAAGCCCCAGCTTCTCAGGCTGACCTCTCCCATCTTGTCTCTGGCCACCCTGCTTCTGTGGGGATGGCATTTCACATCTTGGAGGACCCTGCTCTCCCACATTGCCTCTTGGGGGAGTCCCCTGGCCCCGCAGACTCAGTAGCCTGTCAATATAGGCTTGGGCTGGGCCAGCCTCAAAGACTGGTCCAGTCTGTGCAGTGCTCAGACCCACAGGGCCAAGGAGGGGCTTTCCGGGGGGCCAGGGGCCATCGCTCTGTGGGGTCTCCTTGGTCAGGGCAAAAAGGGGGCTCTGCAGAGCTACAGCATGCAAGGGGCTGGGGTATGGGTATACCTCCCTGCCTCCCTGCCACACCAAATCACACTGGTACTTGGGTGGGATATCTGTCCCCAGGCAGAGGAGCCAGGTGGACTTAGGGTCCAGACTGGGTTTCTGGAACCCTGCTTCATCCGGCAGGGCTCTGTCCAGATCACCTGGGGACGAGAAAGATGAGCAGACAGGTTAGCGAGGAGAGGATTTAACATGGCATTAATTCCATTCTGTGTGTGGTGGGTGACATAAGGCTGTCCTCATCTTCTGCCTGAGAGTCCAGGCTGGACAGGGCCAACAGCTTATAGCCACGGGCCCTGTGCAGACCCAAGAGGGGGCTAGGGGGTCTTTGTGTCCTAACCCTGTCATCCCCTTTCAGCAAGAGCTTCAGGGGCAGAAGAAAGCATCCATTCAATGTCCTTGTGTTCCCCAGGGACATGGAGGACCCCAGGGGAAGGGGGTATCTGCAGTCACAGGATAGACTCCAGGCAGGCCAGGGACACACAGCCCTTCCCTGTAGATGCCCTGCAAGGCAATCCTGGGGGTATCTAAGCAAGACTGAAGGGGTATCCCAACCAATCAGGAAAAAATAGGCCTAGAAGCCCCCTTTTCCTTTTGGACAATGGAAGGTCTTCCCAGTCAGGGAGCAGTTCAAAGTTTTTGCGGGTTTTATTTTAACCTTCTGATGTCCATTTTAAATAATAACAAAAAACATGCCTTATCGGCATAGCAGCTGTCACACCCAGGGCAGGCATCTGTTTCCCCCTGCTCCCACACCCAAAGTGGAGAGGTTTCCAGTTGTGGTGGTCTGGGTCTGGTTGGGGCCGTGGGACACTCACTCTGTGCAGGTCTCCCTCATGTCCTGCCACATGTCCGATATGAAACTGCTACACTCCCGGGCCATCACCTACCTGTAGACACTGGCCTGGGCCGAAACATGTCCCATGTTTGGCCTGTGTCCCCTGCACTGCCCGGGAGCTTGCTGCCCTCCTCGGCAGCCTGGGGTCTCCATGTCGGCACGGTGGTCTCGTCGGCTGACCGGGGCCGCCAGTCCACCATGCCAGGCCTGGCCTTGGGCAGGTGGGCCACAGGCAGAGAGCCACCCAGGGAGGGAGACACACGGTCACTGCAGACTGAGGCACAGGAGGTGGACAGGGAGCAGGAGCCACCATCGCTGAGCTCGTAGAAGCCTGGACAGAGCAGATGTGTAGGTCAGTGCCACCTGGGCAGTGGACCTTCCAGGGATTCCACCCCTTCCTCCTGTGCTTGCCACAGCCCAGGGAGGGCCATGGGAACCCCTGAGCCAAGACTACAGGGGCCTGAAAGATGTGTTCACAAAACAGGAGGGGAGAGCATGCACAGGGCAGAATTTTCCATATTCTTCACCATGCCTCACAGTACCCTCCCAGCCCTGCCCTTGGCAAGGGACCCCTCTAGCCCCACTGCCAATGCCTGGTTAAGGATGGCTTCCCACTCAACTCAAGCCCTGGGACAAATCTCCATCACCTTTCTCTCTGTCCTCTCCTTGGCACCCACCCAGTTACTGTGAGCAGCAACCAGAGGAGGCGGCAGCTCAGGGGTCCTTCCAGAGAAGGGGGTAACTTAGCAGTCCTTCCAGAGAAGGGGGAAGCTCAGAGGCCCTTCCAGAGAAGAGGGGAGCTCAGGGGTCCTTACAGAGAAGTGTGGCAACTCTGGGGATCCTTCAGCTCAGACTTCAGGATATGCAAAGAAACCTAGACTGGGACACTGTTTTGCAAAAGAACAAAAAGCAATGGTGGATAGCATGCGGAGGATGCTCTTGTCTTGGGTTTGCCCTTTGATCACTTCCTACCAGTGTGACCAGAAGGAAGAAGCCTGATGTTTTGTTGTTCAGAGAACATGAGATAAAAAGCACAAGTCACAGGCTCACATATGCCAGCAGTGACCCTCTGGTGATCTATCTATGACCTTTATGTTAAGGGACCCAAGAGTACCCCAGGGAGGAATTAATATCCTCATCATCCTCCCTGAAAAACAGGCAGATTTTAGACAGATTCATGCTCATCAATTTTACAAATATATATTTCTGTTCCCCATAAAACAGTTCCTTTCACTCTCCGCATTCCCCCCACGGAAACAGGCCTGACAATCTGCTTCAGTCCAGAAAGAGGGGCAAGCTCATGGAGTTTCTTTTACATCAAAAGTTATGCATTTCCAATTTAAATATCTATCTACCTATATTAAGAAATATATATAAATATATATGTTCTTTTTCCTGAAGCACTTTTAAATTAAAGAACTTCATTTGCTCTACTCTTCCTTAGTACACTCTTTGTCAGGCTTGACTGCTGCCTCCTCACTTTCCCATCAGCCTGAGAGACCAGCTGGAGTGGGCCCCTCACTGCACAGATGCTGGTGGCATCAGGACCTCAGGCTCAGCCTGGCTGGGCTGGGGTGGGGTTGTCGTTCCTGCAACGGCTGCAGGGCCACGCACCTGAGCCACGTACCTGAGCTGGGCCTGCTGTCATTGTCTGGGGCCTCACTGGGGGCCGTGCCCACATCCAGCTGCAACTGGCTGATCTGTCGGTCCAGCTGGTCCAGGTGAGCCTTCAGGCCGACATCCTGCTTTCTCAGCCGGGACTGTGGGGAGAGGAGAAACCCGCGTGGGAGCCCCGATAGTGCAAGCGTCGTGCACTACGAACACAGTGTGCAGTGCAGAGCCCACACGACCCGTCCCCCGCCCCTCAGTGGCTCTCACTCATGCCCAGGCAATCTCCCCGCTCCACTGGCTGGAAAGAAAGCTCCATGGCTGCCCTGCCCCCAACCTACAGACAGGCTTTCTCTCCAATTACAGGCCACGTTATCCTCTATATATTCTTTCCTTCCTCCCTCCCTTCCTCCCTTTCTCCCTCCTTTCCTTCCCTCCCTCCCTCCCTTTCTTTCTTCCTCCCTCTCTCCCTCCTTCCCCTTCCTTTCTTTTTTGTCAGAGTCTCACTCTGTCACCCAGGCTGGAGTACAGTGGCACGCTCACAGCCACCGCAGGCTTAGGTGAACCTTCTGGTTCAGTCTTCCAAAGTAGCTGAAACCACAGGCACATGCCACCATGTTCAGCTAATTTTCTTTTCTTTTCTAATTGTCTCACCAAGTTGCCCAGGCTGTTGTTGAATCCCTGGACTCAGGTCATCCTCTCACCTCTGCCTCCGGAAGTCCTGAGGCTACAGGCGTGAGCCACTGCACCCGGTCTGTATATTCTTTCAGTTACACATTTCTTCATAAAAACAATACAAGCTTACGAGAGTGAAATCAGGATCAGAAACAGCACAAAAGCAAACCCTCCTCAGGCAGACTGGGGATATGTCCACCTTTTTTGCGTGTTTTTGCTTTCAGTTCCACATAAGCATTCCCCCTCCCTGCTGGTGCTTCAAGTTTCCTCCACAGATGCCTCAGAGTCCCTGGCTCTCCTCAGACTCCCCAGGGTCAGAATATCCCTGGGAAAGAGGTGAAGGCCTCCCTTGCCTGGTTCTGTCTCCTCTCCCTCCCTGGTATCTTCAGGAGTCTCTCCAACCGTGGTGGGTTTGGTGGGGCCATCAGGGAAGAGAGTTCTCGGCTGGACAAGACACCATAGGAGAGGAAAAACATCGGCTCCTTGGGAACTAAGGCAGCACGAAGCCCTGCCTGGAGGACCTTCTGATTTAGAAGCCCCCTCAACAACCCCCAGCCTTGCTCCAGGAGGCTGTGTCTTCCCCAGTCCAGGGGCCCCCATCTCCCAGACACAGAGATTTGTGTGTGTGTACGTGTGTACACACACATACATAAACAAGCATACCTACAGGCATACATAAGTAATATACATGTAAAACCAGTCCTGAACGTTTAATACACACAGACTTGTCTCTTTCAACAACAAAGCTTCTCCTTCTTTTCCCAGTCTGCTGCAAACGTTTCTTGTTTTGGTTAATAATTAAGTTTAAGGCAAATAATTAATGAATGTAATTATATGGTTGGTCTTGCTAAGAAGATGATTAATTGTATTTCAATTTTTACACAGGAAAGGAGGAATTCCCCAGAGCCCCACAGGATTTCTTCAGTCATTTCAAGAATATGCTAAACCATTGTGAGAGAAGTAGGTGGCAATAATGTCTTGCTCTCTTAGGGGAGAATGATTCTGCAAAGTTTTCAAGCATGAGGACGCACACCAGCTCTGGTGGGGGACTGGGTGCCTAGCCCAGGTCCAACACTCCTCCCCCGCCGTGAGTGGAGGGGCAGAGGACCTCATTCCACTCAGGTTTTCTTCCAGGACCCAACTCTGGGGTCTTGGGGCAGCCTCTGAGGCTTGCGCAGCAACAGAGTGTGAAGCTGTAATGCTACCTGTAAACCCGAACAGGGCAAAACATAGCACCAAATGGGACCAAAGTTTTCATATCCAGAGCCACCCAGCCTTGTCCACAAACACCAGCTTCGGACCCTGCATGTGTTTACAAAGATAAACTGGCAGCCAAGCAAACAGCATTGCAAAAGCCAGTGTGGCACTGAGGGCTCGTCCCATCCATCTGCGCCAAGTAAGCTTGGACCCACACAACGGCAGTGTGGGTCCTTAAGTGACTTTTTCTTTCCAGCCATGAAACAAAACCCATAGCACCTACAGAAAATTCAGTTCCTTCCTCAAGCCACACCTCAACGTTCACAAACACCTCTGCACCCTCTCCTCTTCTCAGTCCCCTCCCCCTGATCCCCTTCATCTCACCCCCGGGTGTCTGCACTGGGTTAATTGCTCTGTGGTTAATGTTTGGCCAGTCAGGCCTTCCTTGGCTGGTTTCTGATTAATGACCTAGGGACTGCAGGAGCACAGGGCTCTGGGCTCTCAAGATTTATTGTATCCTCAGGCCCAGTCTGCCTGGGCAAGACCCCCCTCCAGGAGTCATTTCATCCTGGTTAACCCTTACATTGTCCTTTACCTGGGTTTTCACATCCCAGTGCTTTTCATCACATGGTCGAAAGTCACAGATGTGACCAGGATGGACTACAGTTCACTCAAAGTCAGCCCAGGGCACGTCTGTCCCATGCATGTCCACAGCCAGCTGTGGGGACCTCGGTTCCTCATGTCCCTCCCTTGGCAGGAGTGCAGGGTGATGTCAGGGCAGCGTTCTCAGGGGATGATCTGGGGGCACGCATGTCAAGACCCTGAACCTGAGTTCTTCTCCCCTTAGGGTCTGATGCAAAGGGGTTCACATGGAGCTCCCCAGGCCATGGGGTCACCTGGGCACACCTGTAGATCCAGGTCCCACCCACTCCCTGAGATTGTGCAGGACTAACCCGGGAGCCTACATTTTTGGTTTTTTTTTTGAGTTGGAGTCTCACTCAGTCGCCCAGACTGGAGTGTAGTGGCCACTCCCGGCCACCGCAGCCTCGACCTGCTGGGCTCCGGCAATCCTTCCGCCTCAGCCTTCCAAGTAGCTGGAACTACAGGTGTGCACTACCACACCTGGCTGATTTTTTGATTTATTGTAGAGATGAGGTCTTGCCAAGTTGCCCAGGCGGGTCTCGAACCCGCGGGCTCAGGCAATCCACTCACCTCAGCCTCCCAAAGTGCTGGGATTACAGGCTGAGCCACCAAGCCCGGCTGGGAGCCTGCATTTTAACAAGCTTCCCTGGGCACCAAGTGTCTGAGAACTTCTATTCCAGGGTGCCATCTGTGGCCAGTCTGGTTCTTTGAGGCATTTTCTTTCTTTATGCCACAAGAGAGTGATCTGACTCCAACGTGCCCTGGCTTCCCCACCGACACATCCTCCCATGGCCAGCAAGCCCTATGGCACACATGTGGAGGACAGAAAGCAAGGAGCTTCGAGTTCAGACGGAGAGATGGTATCTGAAAAACCTCCTTCCTTCCCCATGAGCTCAGTGCGTACAGAGGAAGCATTTCACGCATGAATTCCATGGCCATCACCTCTGCACTGAGGGGAGAGTGTTATTACCCAGGTTTAAAAGCGGCCCATCCATCAACAGCAAAGGGGCCCCAAGTTCACAGATTGGACTCCCAGATAACAAGAAGCTTGCAGGGTCTTGTGGAGGCCCGGCCCTCTCCTTGACCCTGAGTAAGTCTTCAACCCTGCCTTCCTTTGTTCCTCTGTGTTCACCAGGCAGGCAGTCAGTCCAAGGAAGACACCAGGCATCATGTTCACAGCTGCAGAATCAGCCTTGCAGCCGCTGGCGCAGCATGAGATGCTGGGACCTGCCAGTGTGAGGGTGCTGCTGCAAGCCGCCACTTTCGGGACAAGTCACAACCAGCACCATGGGGAACTGGAAATTCCTCAGGATAGGATTTCATGATGCGGCAGCACCCACTGGTGGAAGATGGAGTTTTCTATCTACCCATGGGGTCACTGAGTGCCGGTGGGTGGGGGAGGTCTTTCTACTAGAGCTGTTGGAAAACATAGCCCTTATAAAGATGGAAATACCAGCCCATCCTCAGGGAAGGACGGGTTCCCTAGGTAGCAAGCAACAAGCACAGTCAGCTCTGCCTGGCCTTCCGGGGTGGCAGGACATGGGGGGCTCATCCATCTAGAAATTAGAACTGGGAGAGACTGGATGCTGGAATCACTCTTTTATTGCAACAGCAATAAAAGTCACTCATTTACTCATTCAGCAAACTCTTCCTGAGTGCGATGGCCACACCATCTTTTGTGACAAAGCAGCAGGTGTGAATGAGCCTGAGTGTGATGCCACCATCTCCCCTGCACAGTTGAAATCCCTAGAAATGGGCAACCCCTTTGGGTCCCCTCCCACTGTGGAAGCTTTTCTGTCCTCTTAATAAATCTTGCTTTCTCAAAAATGAAAATAAATAAATAAATCCCTAGAAACATTCTCATACGAGAATTTCAGAAGGATAAAGCTCTGAGGGCCAGATAAACATCCTTCCTGTTCTCACAGCTGCTGTCCTCATACCTGTGTGAGGCCCAACCGCTGCAACCCCAGGGTGGGGAGGATCTGGGTGGTGTGACTGTACTTGGAAAAGCCTCACCTTTGTGTCCTGCACTACAGAACTGTGTCAGTCCTAATTTTTTCCCTGTAAGAAAAATGTAAAAGTGTTAATCCCTGAGCTGATGTCACACAGATTCAATTCTTCTTCTCTTTTGATCACGTAATCCACTCCGAGAACAAAGTTGCAAGACAAAGTCTGCGTGTTCCTTCTGGTCCCCACATTAAAAAAAAAAAAAGTTAAACAAAAACCTGTTTGAACTTCTCTTCCAAAAGGCTACTTGTAATTAGAGGCTGAGCACTCACAGTTTGAGTTGTATATTTCTTAAGCCAAGTTAATCATCAACTGTGCTCTTACGCCCTCGACAGAGCAATTCAGGCCAGCATCCCACCAGCACCTTCCTGTCACACGCACCACACATCCATGGGACACCTAGCAGAGGGCATGCAGAAGCCACGCGTGTCTGGGTGCAAACACACAGACATCTGGACAGATGGCCAGGATGTGGTCACTGTGTGGGTAAACAAAGCCTCAACACCAGCTGCGTCCCTCTGTGGGGACAGAGGAGAGGCCGCGAAGGCAGGGTCCAGGTGGTTCCGTCTGCCACCTTAGTCTTCTGCAACACCGGAGATAACAGGCACCTGGGAGGTATCCCCAGACCCAGGACTTCCCAGTTCTCTAATCCAGAAGCCTTTACCAGGTTATCATCAGCACAGCTAAGCTGACAGGAACGCTGCAGCCTCCCGGGGGGCCTTTTAACAGGACAGATTTGAATTTCTCAAGTGAAAGAGATCCACTGAGTGTCCCAGAGGTAATTCAACTAGATAGAGGTCTTCCTATAACTTTTTCATTTTCTCTGTTAAAGAACACTGCAATACTGTAAAATCTCTTTTGGGTTGTCTCCAAGAAGTTAAACGAGATTGTGCAACAGAGTGTAAGCAGAGGAGCCACAACTCAGCGTCTCCAGGCCTGCCAAAGGCGCCCATCCTTAGAGCAGTCGGCCCTTGGAGCAGCCGCACGTTGCTGAGACAGACCCCAGGCAGGGAAACCACCAAGCTCTGGATCACAGGACACACTTCTCCCTCTCTCCCTCTTTCTCTCTCCCTCCCTCCCTCTCCCCCTCTTCCTCTCTCTCTCCCTCTCCTCCCTCTCTCCCTACCTCTCCCTCTCTCCCTCTCCCCCATCTCACTTTCTCTCTCTCTCC